ATTATTTATAAATTACTATTTTAAATTACAATTTTCTTAAACTGTTAGAGTGTAATTTGCTACTCAGTATGAATTCTACTTGAATTTCTATGGTATATTTCCTGTTATAACATCCTGGGTTAAATAACAAGCATGAATTTTCAAATTTTTCTAAAATAGCAAAACAGCTCATTATAAATATTTGTAAGTTTACTAAAATATGAAATTGAATACAAAAACTAAAGTGAGAAAATAGCCTCATTAAATCATTTTACAAGTGATATCAGCCAAATATTAAAATTTAATTTGGCTTTCAAATTCTATTTCTTAGGTCATTAATCAGTATCTTGGGTTAATATTCACTGTTTAAGTACTTTAGAGCCAACAGTCCAAAACAGCTTAGTAAAGATGGCTTTAATTTCCATTTCTTATTGTACATCTAATTTGACAGACATAAAATCTATTTTTGTGGCAATTAAAATAATCTTTGATTAAATACAGGATCTGATCATGGTTTTCCATTTACAGAAAAGAATTACTTCCTTCTTTTCTACCATTCTATTAAAACAACTTGGGCTGGGGATTTAGCTCAGTGGCACCGTGCCTGCCTCCACAAGCGCAGGGTCGAGTTTGATCCCCGGTACCAAAAAACCAAACATTAATTCTCCCTAAATGAAAAATCATCATCATGAATTAATACCTAACAAATATATATCATGATTTCACACAATACCTTTTTCAGGTGTAGACTTAGAAAACATTTATAGCCTATATGTACTGAAGAACTATGAGTAAAACACATATGGACATTATACTGAAACCTGAAAAATAAAGTAAAAATTCAGGTTTAGATATTCTGATTTATACACCAGGTATTGGAGCAAATCAAGCCCTCTCCTTACAAACACAGCAATTGTCCACGAACTTATGTGAAAATTTTTCTCATCTGAACTACAGAGGCTCCTCCCTGAGTAAATATTAAGAAAGCTTAATGAAGGTTTCTCAAGTTTTGTTCATTTATAAGAATAGCATGCCAGGCTTGGTGGTGCACGCCTGTAATCCCAGCACTTTGGAAGCTGAGGCAGGAAGATTGCTACGAGTTTGAGGCCTGCCTGAACTACTTAGCAAAACCCTGTTTAAAAAAAAAAAAAAAGAATAGCAAGATTTGCAGAGGGATTTGTTCTTCAAATATAATATTTTAACTGCCCTTCACATGGGTTGCCCATATAATCTACATATTTTCTGTGATATTCTTAAAATCCATTAGAAATATAGACATTAAAGGAAAAAAAGAATAACATCTCAGGTCAGTTAATAGAAAACAGGCAGCTACTGAGCATATATTTGTTTCATTATAGCAAGGGAGAAGACGTAAGAAAAATGGAAGTCTGATCTTGGCTATGAAAGGGCCTAATGTGCTTGCTATGCAGGAAATAATGCATGTGACCTCCTCAGCAGCATTTCTGTGTCACCAGAAAGGGCCACTCTAAGCTAAGGGAAATTGGGGAACAGCTTGAGTGTGAGTCTTTGAGAATAAAGGGGGCTTAAAATTATTTTTTGAGGCCTGGGGATTTAGCTCAGTGGTTATGCTGCCTGTCTTGAAAGCGCAAGGACCTGAGTTCTACTCCCCCATACCGAAAAAAAAAAAAGCCAAACAAAATCTTAAAATTATTTTTTGAGAGAAATGTTATGTTTGGGACAAATGAAGTCTCTCAGGGGGGATTTAGCAACAAAAGTGATTTTTCTTTGATGTACCTCACAGGACAGGTCTAATTGAACTAGAAAAAGGTTGGAGAGATGTGATGCAGAGAGTCATTTTATGCAAGTTCCATCCTGAACATAAGTTTCTTTTCCCCATGAGAGATTGACAGGGGTTTGTCTTCTTAAAAGTAAATCTGCGTTGTAAATCTGGTATTGAAAAGGCCCATAGTAACAGTAATGCATAAGATATAGCGAATTAGGGGATAGAGGCAGTTTCAGTACTTCAGTTGTGAAGTGACAGCTAGGGCCGTGGTTTTGATCGAATGAAACCAAATATCGGTCATCACAGTTTAATAAATGTAATACATGATGATACTTGTCTTAGTTGTGTGTAGTGGAGGCTGCCTTATGAAACTTATTCCTTGTAGGTCTAAATAAAGTAAATAACTGGCTTAAAAATAGGATGGAAATGGGGCAGGGGATTTAGCTCAGTGGTGCTGCCACCTGCTTCGCAGGCACAAGGTGCCAAGTTCAATCTCCGGTACCAGAAAAAAG